TCAAAAATGCTACCCATCTAGCATGACTTTAGGGGTACCAGAAGAAAAGGAAAAAGATGAGGAAGAAAAGGCAAATAGTTGTTAAATGAGTTATCCAGGATCACACAGCTAGTTAGTGTCTGAAACTGGATTTGAACTCAGGTCTTCCTGATTCAAGGTCTAGTGCTCTATCTATACCACCTAGATGCTTTTAGTCTGAGGAAGAAGTGAGGTGTTTGAAGGAATTAAGGAGTGATAAAAGGGGATCTAATGGGGGGGAGGCAAAGGAAAACTTCATAATTTTGTCTAATGTTAGACCTGCTATAGGTGTGTGTATACACACACATATACACAAACATATCTGTGATATACACATGCATGTATGTACACATACATGCGTATATACATGTCCATTGTGTGTATATACATATATAGTTTTATTCATATATATGCATGTGTGTATGTATATTGTGTGTATGTGCATTTATATATGCATGCATGCATACATCCATATATACGTGTGTGTGTGTGTGTGTGTGTGTGTGTGTGAATTTTGGTCCCTAACTCTTCTCCACATTTTTTTCTATAAATTGCAACTTAAACAATCCTTCTTAAATGATGCCTTCATGATTTCCCATCGTTTTTTTCTATCTCCCTACTAGGAGGGAGCCATGACATAGTTTAAAGTGCATTAAGACAGGGAGTCCAATGACCTGAGTATTGGTCCTGGCTCTCTAGTTTACTACTTCTGGGATCCTGGGTAAGTCACTTCTCAACTGGCCTCAGTTCCTTCACCTGTAAAATTAAGAGATTGGGGACCAGATAATTGCTAAGCTTTGCCATCATGTGTTTCCAATCAGAATTCTGAATTTAATCTACATTTTGGCCATTGGCTTTAAGAACTTTTCACAACTTTTTACCTAGTCGATCAACAAGCTTTTATTAAACACTTACTTCCATTACTCCATTATTAAAACTCTCACTGCTCAATACTTAAGATCAATCTTTTCACCTATTGTGTATCTTCCTTTCCACATACTTTGTGCAATCTTTTCCCTCTGAACATTAAGTTTAATATTTATCTGTCTTTAAATTACCATTTATAGAATTTTTTAGGTTTGGAAGATATATTAGGAATCATTTAATCTGCTCCTTTCATTAGATGAAGTGACTGAGGTTGTGAGATATTAGGTGACTTGCTCAACATTACCCAGACACTTAGTGGCAAAGCTAGAGCAAGAATGTAATTCTATTGACTCCTAGCCCAGATCTCTTAACATTATGCCAAACTAACTCTCCTCAAAATGTCCTTATCATAAAAGCTTTTCTCACTTAGTTGAAAAGTGCCACTTGTTATTCAAGAAATTAAGAGCTTAATCTCACTGTTGACATGCAGGTATATCCACATACATTAGTTTAGACTGAATACTGCATATGTTTGTGTAGTTGATTGTAGTTTCTTGAGAGTAGGGACTGTCTTTTGACTTTCCTTTGTATCTCCAATGCTTAATACCTTGCCTGGAATGTATATGACACTTAATAGATGCTAATGTGACTGACTTATTTTCCATATACCTACATTGTAGGATATTTAAAAGCAGTGACAATATCGTCTCCCTATTTTCTATTCTCCAGTTTTTCATTGTTCCCCTGCCCCCAGAATTGACACTCAATAACTGTTCATTAATTTAGGCAAATATAAATGAAGTGTAAATTAGTGTATACAAAGAATGCAATATATCAAAAAGAAGACTTTAATTTTTAAATCTGTTTTGTTAGTATGTAATGAAAAGCTGATGATCCTCTACTCTTCTATTCTCTTGTCCAACCAAAAATCTCTGTATGAAACTGTGCCAATAAAGTCCTGACATAAACATTAGGGAAAAATAGAGATGAGTACATGGAGCTGGTAGTAGATAGATAGTATCTTAACTCAATTGCTGAATGATATTTTAGTTTAAAATAAATTTATGGTGTTCTGTAAGCATAATAATTCTGCCCCACGTGAGAAAGTCTAAGATCGCAAATGGAAGTTTTTTTTAAATGGTTTAAATGGTATCTAATGAAAGCATTTACAATATTCTGAAACAATAAAACAATGATGACTTATTTTGTTGGTTGTAAAATTTCACTACCACTGAAATGAAATTCGCACAATAATTTTAAGAATTTATAATTATGTGAACACTGAATTCTATATGTAACAGATGATATGACTGGATTAGAATCTATCTTTTGTTACAAGAGGAGTAAAAAATGTTTGAGGGTAAAGTGTGAACCAATTATAGGACAATAACACCAATAATTTGCTTGACACAAAGGAAGGACCATCACAGGTCCCTTTCTATTTTCACTATAATGCCTGGGAGAAGCTGAGTGAGAACTTTCTATGATAACCATGGGTGTTCTCTTTGGTGGTAGTCTGGGCTATGGCTATTGGGATTTTGTTGGGCTGATTTATGGTTTTGGAGATTGGGATCTGGGAGTTTATTACTCTTTCACTCTTATTTGTAACACGTTATTCCCAAGGGTTCTATAAAGATAATTATCTATTTTATAAAATACTTTTAGTCCTATGGTAAAAGGAGCAATGTAAAACACCTAACAACAGTAATAATAACAGTAACTATAATAATTATAATAACCACCTCTAGATAAGGTATTTATCAATATCAAATTTCTCATGAGAAGATGCCTAAGCCAGGTAAATGGCTCAACTTTACACACACATATGCGCACACACACACACACACACACACACACATCTTGATTCAATACCTATTTTCTTTTATATGCTCAATTAACCACATGCTTTTTATAGGAATTATTAAATGTACACTATAGTTTCCAGACAATTCAGATAAGCAGAATCACGAAAATACTCAACACTATTAATCATCCCAGTGACAGTGCTCTGATTTAACATCTTGGGGATTTTCTCCCCTTCTTCATCATTTATTTGCCAATATTTCCCTGTTATGAATATCCCCCCAAAGACTCTCATCCCTGGCAGTCACAGCTGTGCTACCTTACTGTGTCTACTTTTACTACAAAGGATACCGTTCCTGAAGAATAATCCCTAGAGATGATCCCCAGGGTTAAAAGTGAAGCCATCCCCAGTTGTAGGCAGGTCCTGGCAATCCTGACTGAGCCACTGACATCTAATGACCAAAGCTCAACCTCCAGGCCTGAAGAAATGTCAGAGCTGGGAAGCTGGTTTGCAAATGAACACAGTTCACAATGACTAAAATTGTCCGCAAAAGACCTGTACTCAGACATGAACTACTCCAAATACATGCACTGAATGGCAGCTAAAGAATGAATGAAGAGCAACTGAGAGCTAATGAAGAGATTTTATTTATATATATATATATATATATATATACACACACACATATATATGCACATACATACATATACATATATGCATGTGTGCATGTGCATGTGCATATGTATATAAACACAGGCACAAAATATATATAACATGCATACGTGCACATGCATATACATACTTACATGAACATACACATGCATATATATGTACTTATGTGTATATATCAAACATAAAAAGAAGGAAGTTTAAAATGTATTTAAATCAGTTACAAATGAAGAAAATGATGGTCATTAGACATGAGAATATCAAGAAATAAAACTCATAGTACATGAAGTATTAAAATCACAATGAAATTCTCAAGCCTAAGCAAAACAGCCCTTTTTTTTCCTTATGTCCAACATAACTCAAACTGCATTCTACGACCATTTGAAATAGGAAAAGCCTCAAAGAAACAGTAGTTTCTCACTTACTTAAAAGGACACAACAACAACAGTGAAAACAAAAACAAAAATCTGTAAACCACATGGTAATTGAAGGGAGAGAGGAGAAAGGAAATGAGAATTCAATAGATTATACTATTTGGTCAAACCAACTCTTCACATCAACTATCAATAAAGAAACATTCTTCAAGAAAACAAAAATCAGTCTTTTTAAAGACAAACTCTGGCACCAGACAAATTAATATGAATATGAAGATTTAAATAGTGATATATAAAAACATAAGAATTAGCAAGTGATAATTATAATGATGATTTTGTTTACATTGCTACTTCAAGCTGTCAATACCATAACTGTTCACACTTGGCTTTAAGTATTTCTTAATGATTCTGGAAAATCTAAATTTCAATTTCATCTTAAATTCTCGTCAATTCCACAAAGATTTATCAAACATTTACTATGTCCAATATATTGCCTTGAGTACTGTGGGAAAGGATGCAAGGATAAATTAGAGATGGTTGTTGCTCTCAAGAATCTAATCTGGATTATGCTAAAAGGAAAAAAAAAACTTTTCCCATAGCAAAGGCAATAAAAGTCAAACTATATCATATTAAAATGCCTTTTATTCCTGCTATCCAGAGTACTTTCTTCTACAATACTCATAACAGCCTGCTACTAACAATGCAGTTTCTGTTAAATAACGGACAAAGGCAAAAGACTGCAAAGCAAGAGGACTCATCTTCAATTTAACTGTCCTATAAGGTACATACTAATTAGCTGCAAAGCTATGAAATCTTAGCTAGCATGTTAAGTCTGCTACATGACAGTATAATTTGACTTCTTAAAGGATTATGCAAATTACAACTCATCATTCCATTACAGGATTGAAAAAAAGTGACAGCTAATTTATACATAACACACCTTTCAAATCCCTAAGATGCGAAGCACCTGTGCACTGTATTTTGCCTAGATTTTCTTGCATATAAGTACTTATTTATTGCAATATACAGCAGCTTACCTAAGAGCTTTAATAAAGTCATTTTTTAAAAAAAAAACTTTTAGCACAATTTCAAAAGAATTAACATTTTTTTTCTATCTTGGATTTAGAGGTACTTTTTTCTTTGATTTGTCTTTTTCCCATTTAATCAGAGAAAAATAAGGTTTCAATACATGTATATTTTTGAATAGCTGGCAACCACAAGTACTGATGCACGAGCCAGAGGAAAGACTCACAAAGATTTCAACATACTTCTGGTAGGTAGATTCACAGTAGATGCCGTCATATCTGTAGATTTTCCTACATTCTGATTGGTTGGGCAGAGGATGCTGGACAGTTATTCTGTAGAGGTATCAAAAACAGATAGACATGACTAGAGATTCTCTACAGTGAACTGGAATGCAGGACAATAAGTATGTTGAAATTTAATATATTTCGCTTCTTTACAGTTTTGAGCTCTACACACAATTGCAATGTGTACATACACCCAAGAACAGAAACTTCCACCTTTAGAAATGTGTACTTTTTCAGTTTTCCATAAAAATCCATTTCTTTGTGTCTCAAAATGGCACCAGTGAAAGAGGTAAAAAAAAAATTTATATGGCCCAAAACTTAATTAGCAATTTATACCATTCAAGAGATTACTATCCAAATTATGTCTTAAAACCAATGTCTTTAGTGCTTTAGTAGTTACCAATTTGTCATGAATTCAAGAGTACATCACTCTATCCAGGTGATTATAATCTAGCAGTAAAATGGGAGGCGAGTCAATATCTCTTGGAGTTTAACTTATTTATATCATATTTATATTGGGTCTGCTTCCAAATAGGATTGGAAGTAGCTTGCAAGATGAAATATGATACAAAATAGAAGTTAGGTATTAAAATAGAGATCATCTAAAAGGAATAAGAGAGAGTATTAAATGTTACTTGGCACTTGAAAACAGTCAATTGCCATAACTGGGCACTGCATTTGGCTCTAAGGAAAACAGTAAATTGCATAGTTTTCTCATTCTCATGAAAAGAAAGCCCACACATTTGTTGGCAAACTTTCTGAGATATAAGAATGTGGAAAAAAGAGAGAGAAGGGAGGAAGGAAGAAAGGAAGGAAAAAAGGGAGGAAGGAAGGAAGGAAGAAAGGGAGAAAGGGAAAGAGGGAGGGAGGGAGGAAGGAAGGAAGGGACAGAAGGAGGGAAGCAAAGAAAGAACAAAAAGCAGTTATATGATCTTTTCTTCCCAAAAAGAAACCCTGGCTTTTGAGAGTAGTGAAAGAAATTTATTTGAATATTAAAAATTCTATTTTGAAAAGGGATGTGAAGTAATTTAGTTAATATACATTATGAATGAGGGTACCAAGCACTGAACTCAAATGTCTACATCAGAAAAGCTGAGTTGGCAAGTAAAATTTTTCTTAATACAATTTGTATTTTAATAACTTCTTAATTACGAGTTCAAACATTGTCATAGTATAAAACTGTTCCACATAAACTCAGATAAGGTAATAAACTGATGGCCAAATTCTGCAATAAAGAAGCAGGTTGATTTTTACATAGATGTCAAGTATACATTTGCTTAATATTTTATAATACCTAGTATCCCTTCTGATAATTCTTTATAAAGAACAGAAGTATCAACAATGTGGCCTGGTGAAAACAATGCTGGAATTGGAGTCAGAAAGACTTGATTGGAGTATCACTTCAAACAGCAGCTCTGTGTTCCTGGGCAAGTCACTGAACCTCATCAGGTCTCAACGTTCCCATTTGTAAAATGAGGGGGTTGGACCTCCAAGGTCCCGTCCAGCTCTAAATCTATGCCTATATGAATTTATTTTAAAAAATACAAGCTAATATTCCATTTACAAGTATTGCAATTAAACCCATTCTTGATATATTCTGGGGATAATGTGTAGTGCTGCCTGGTTTTTAGCTGCCTAACTCTTTCCATAGCCAATGGCAGTCAAGAAGCTATATTTATAGTAAAATGTGTGCCCCTCATTAATAAGGTTGATTTTAGGATCTATGTTGATTACACTGTTTTGCTCAATGCTATACCTTAAACTCTATTATACTCATTAACTTTCACTGGAATTTCAAATCTTTACATGGGCACATATGGTATTTTATTATAAAGCTGATAAGAAACACCAAGAAATAAGAAATGAGTTTGAAATGAAGCGCTAGTTTACAGGGAGGTTTATTAGGTGTAATAATAGGCTCCACCTGAAAAAAAATTAATTTTCTATTTTAACTACCCCAAAATGAATCCTTAAAACTTATATTCTAACAGATGATGTCAACAGCGTCAGCAGATATACAGGCTAGAAAAAAAATTTTTAAATGATTGGGTCTGAGATCAGACTGCCTACTGCCTATTTACTCTGGGTACTCAAACTATATTTCTATTTTATGTCATTTTATGCTTTCAAATTGATTTCTTGTATTTTGCACCTACATTAAAAATTAAAGAACTGAAGAGTATTTGAGTATGATCAATTTGAAGTGGCTAACATCCACCTTATAATAGCTTCATTCTGAATGGTTAGAAACCAACTTATTCTGGAGAAGCTCCGGGACAGAGTAAAACTGCCTTTTGTTAATGGCAGGAAAGGTTATAAGGAAATTTTAGTTTGCATCCAGTTTGAGAAAATTGCGAGGATAAAAACCTAGCAGCCCAAACATCTGTAAGAACTAACCCCCCAAGTCAATCTTTACTTAATATTTTGTGTCCCATTCCCTTTTCTCCAGCATGCTACCAAAAAAAGAAAAAAGAAAAGGAAAGGAAAGGAAAGGAAATGAAAGAAAAGAAAAGAAAAGAAAGCTGCCGTATGCATTTCTTCACTGGATTTTGTTTTAAAGGTTAAATACTTTCCGTTAAAAAAAAAGTTCAAATGCGTCTTTCAATTTTGGAACTATTATGAACTGCTGCATTCTGAGCATCCAACAGCCCATTTTCCCATCCCTACATGTCACTTCATCTCTAGATGGACCCATCATGCAGCTTGAGGTAGGACTTAAGTGCATTTACATACATGTGAAACATGTAAGCTATGACTAATTTTAACTCACAGGGCAGAATTTAAATAATTAGTTACAAGAAGTCAAACTAAGGGAAAAAAGGAGGAAAGAGATGGTTAGAGGCAGAGTAGTAAATTGTTCCATTTTTGCAGGTAATCTAAATGCAAACTAGAAGCAACTTATCATGAGAATGGATTTTCCACCATCTGGTCAAATAACAGGGGATTTGTCTAGTGGCAAGCAAAGAATGGAATGATGTGAGAAAGATTAGCGGGCAAGTCCTACAGTTGGCTAAAATGTATTTTGTGCAAACAAGACCAGATGACGCCTTAACAATTACACCTGTCAAAAACTCCAGAAAGCAATCCATCTCTGAACAGCCCAGTTGAAAACAGGCTAGTTCATAACAAAATGAATTTTTTTAAACAATTGCAAGCCATAACAGTTTGATGCATGACAAGCTTAGAAAGTCACATTTCACGTTCAACTGAAACCTTAACTAACTGGACCCTGGTTTTTGGTGATAAGTAAGATATTAAACCACAGAAGGTATTGGGGGGATGCAAATGACTGACTTAAAAGTCACAAAAGCAAGCAAATTCAGAATCACAGGCAAAAAGTCGGAAGTGATAGATCACTGAGAACTCACCCTGTTGTGCTTAGTTATTGCAGGAGTCCTAGAAAAGTGAGTTATTTCCTGGGGCAAATTTGGCACAAACTAACCCTCTTGCGGCGGTATCATTGCAAAACAGAAGCCAACAATTAAGTCAGCATGGGATTTGAACTACACAGGGTGGTAGGGAAAGAAAGTGCATTACCACTGACCAACCTCTTAGAGTTTGCCTGTCTAAAAGATTCAAGTTTTTAGTAGGGAGCTCACTGTTCACATGTGAATATTACTTTTCTACAAACATATGAGTCCCTAATAATACATGTGCAAGACACACATGTTTTAGGATGTTTTAAGCAGTTTCTGTAAGTAAAATAAAATGTTAAATATAACAATTTTTGTTGGATTTTTTCTGGTTCATGTTATGGTGCTATGAGATCTAATTGCAATCTAACTCTTTAGCTGATGCAGCTAGATTGTATAGTGGCTAAAGTTCTTGGACCCAAAGTCGGGAAGACTTGAGTTCAAATATGTCCGCAGTCACTTACCCTGAGAAAGTCACTTTTATCTCTCCTAGACTCAGTTTCCTCATTTGTTAAATGGGATTAAAATAGTACCTATCAACCCACATGTACAAAAATATTTATAGCAGCTATTTTTGTTGTGGCAAAGAATTGAAAGCTGAGAAGATGCCCATTAATTGTGGAATAGCTGAACAACTTGTGGTATATGAATGTAATGGAATACTATCGTGCTATAAGAAATGATGAGCAGGTGGGTTTCAGAAAAACTTGAAAAGATTTACATGAACTGATGCTGAGTGAAATGAGCAGAACCAGAAGAACATTGTCCACACTAACAGTAACATTGTGGATAGACTTGGCTCTTCTCAGCAATACAATGACAAATTATATACGAAGACAATTCTAAAAGACTCATGATGGAAAATGCCATCTACATCCAGAGAAAGAACTATGGAGTCTGAATGCAGATCGAAGCATATCATTTTCAGCTTTTTAAAGTTTTTTTTTTCTTTATCATGGTTTTTCCCTTTTGTTCTGATTATTTTTTCACAACATGACTAATGTGGACACATTTTTAATATAGTTGTACATGGATAACCTATATCAGATTACTTGCTGTCTTGGGAACCGGGGAGGGGAGGGAGGGAGAAAAAATTTGCAACTCAAAATCTTATGAAAATAAATGCTGAAAAAATTGAAAAGATATTTGAAAAAATAGCACATATATTCCTAGGATGTTGTAAGAATAAAATGAAATAATATTTGTAAAGCAGTTTGTAAACCTTAAAACCTTATACAAATGCTAGATATTATTATTATTATTGCTATTATTATCGTTCTTCTTCTTATTGTTATTGTTAAGACAACCCAGTTCCTTATTACCAGGACAAGCTTTACTAAAGCTTGTTAGGTAAGATAACCCAACACAGAACACTACTGAAGAATTTTATTAAAATTTCTTTTATTTTCCCTCAAAACAAGGGTTTAAATGTTCCCAAGTTACCTTTATAAAAAAGGAAGCAATTCAGGATTATAACAGTTGGTACTTGGTTATTCCTTTTATAAGTGGTTGAGCCTTCCAAAAGCATTCTCTGGGCCTTCTCAGATGTTGTGGATTGTTACCTGCCAGGTGATATATGCAAGCCAGTTTGGCTTAATTCAGTTTAAATCATGTTGAATTCACTGTTCGTTTTCT